ATATATATATATATACATACATACATACATACATACATACATGTATTAATTCAACATTAATCTGAGTTTCTGGACAAGAAAGAGGGTAAGCAGTTGAAATTTCATTCTAAAATCCATCTTTTTTTTGTCTTTTCATGGCTTATGATATATCAAATTTGTAGTTTTTCTTATTGTTTTTGAGTGTTTATCTTCAAACTCAAGTTTTTTGGTTATTTGCTTTTGGTGTAAATCGAATACATTTGTGGAGTCGTTTAAATATGTTGGATAGTCTGTAATTGGAACCATAACTTTTATTTATTCAAATTGTATTAATATGTAAAGACCAAATGTAACATATATCATCGTTAAATCTTATCTTATAAAACCAGTGGAACTTCAAAATCGTTAAAATTTATCGCTCTCGTCGCATTGCGCGGGTATACAGCTAGTATATATATATATATATGTGTGTGTGTGTGTGTGTGTGTGTGTGTGTGTGTGTGTAAAAGGACAAACATGTCTTTGAAAGATATGATATCTTCTAAAAGCATAAACTACTCTTTCTTATAGTGATACTTATAATACTTGTTATATCATCATTACACTTATATAAATAGAGACCATTGTAAGATAACGGTATTGTGCCTAAGATCTAGTTGCAATAATTATCCATCCGGATGAATACTTCTCTTTATATTCCACAAGATGCTCATCCTTTCCTCCAGCTAGTTGGAGACCATATCTAGCAATCAGAAAGGAACATGATCTCCTCTCTTGGCRTAGGACGTCAACTAGAATCAGAGCATTTGTGTGGATACYGTGGAGGCAAGGAGCCGAGTTCGTTGGATTTGTCAAAGGATTGCTGCTCGATCTGGTTGAAACACCTATCCTACTCCATTTTGTATGAATTCTTAGCGRAGTACAGTTATTTTCTGCTGAGTTTTTGACTCCCGTATTCCAACAACATCTACAAATCAAACATAAAATTATACAAAATTGAAATTGAATTCTATTACATTCTATGACAATCCAACATGTGAGTTTTACCATATTCAATTCCCTCGGATTTCAAATCTTTCGACAAATTTACCCTTGTAAARAACTCTATATGAACTGAAATGTTGACTTAAAAGTTTTCAATGGACCTGTTGCGATCTGATATAAAAAAGAATCATTTATGATAATGTGGACGATTTTGTATAAAAATCCATAATGGTATATAAGAACACCCTACGAAGTTACTAGAGTAAATTATGGATTTGATCATATAGTTTGTTGTTTATTATGATATTGATTCGTGGACTTTTTATTACATAAAACCCCTCAGGTTTTGGATATGGTCCCTTGCCCTAACGATCATCCACTATTTTATGTCAATTACTAAAGATTTTTTTTAAAATTCATCTTCTCAACCAATACGTAAATTAAACCTTAAATAAGACACCTTAAGAAAACTTAATAAAACCCTAATCCAATCTTTCCTGCCCCTCTCTTCCAAACTGTTGGGATGATGATGAAGTAACARTGGTGGGACAACAATGAAGAACAACAAAGCAGTGGTAACAACGAAGAACAAAAGGTTTTGAAAAACAACAAATACTCCGTGAGTTTTACAAAACATCAAAGAAGAACAAAAATGAATGGGTTTTGGTCTCTTTTTTTTTTTTTCTCGTTTTATGTTCGCCAACATAAGTAAATCTTTAGAGATATCAATCTTCATGGCTTCTGCATTTGGATCTGCTTCAGATGTGCTTCTCATGCGATTTTAGAGGTTTTAATGTAGTGTTTTAGGTTATTGATATTCACACCAGTTGTATTTGTATTTCTAGTATATTTCTCATTCATTTTGAATAAGTTATGATTTTTGTTTCAAACCTAAAAAACAAAAACAAAAATCGAACTCTAAACCTATTGCGTAAAGAACAGAGAATGAGAACAATCTAAGAGGGGATGAAGAAAAAGATTCAAGAAAATAAAAATAATATTAAGTAAGAAAAGTAGTCAATGACCACTTCACYCTCGGACTTAACAGGGAGGATAGATGGGCGTTAAGGCCAGGACCTATTCTAACACATTGTTCAAACTTTGAGGGTTTTTCTAAAATAAAATGAAACTTAGGGACCAATTCAATAATAAACGACAAACCAAATGGACCAAATCCAAAATTTACTCCAGTAATTTACTAATCACACGTTCACCCTAATCCTGATCCACATCCACACACCTCACACTAAACCCTCCACAGTCCGCACTCCACACTCAAAAACCTCAAACAAATGGCATCGCAAAATCATCAACACGATCATGATCACGGTCACGATCACCATCATGATCACGATCACCATCATGATCACGATCATCATGAAAACGGGTAAGCAAATCGTCTTTCGTTTGAAGATACACTGTTTGTAGCTCTGAATTCCATAATAATCTCTATTCACCTGATGATTCTCAGATGAATCTGCTTGTTTGCATGCATATATACTTATGTTTGTATGTATACATTAATTTGAAAAGGAGGTAGTACGATCATATCTGTTTGGCTTGTTTGTATGAATTAGGAATACGAATGGAGAGTCATCATGGGTGGGGAAAGATGGGAAGGTGTACCATAGCCACGATGGTCTGGCACCACATTCGCACGAACCGATTTACTCACCTGGCTTCTTTAGCAGAAGAGCACCTCCCCTTGTTACCAGGGATTTCAATGAAAGAGCTTTCACCATTGGTATCGGTGGCCCTGTTGGTACAGGGTAATATTCTTTTAACCATATTTGATTTCATGTTATTTTTTATTCCTCTTCCATATTGAGTTCCATCATACTTTTGAATTTGATAGAAGTTTGACAACAAAGTTAAAATTATTTGACAAAGACCCATAGATTGTTTGGTGTTTAAGTTATTAAAATCCGCATGGACTTTCAGGTTAAAAAACCAGTAGGTTTTACCTTTGAGTGAAATTTACCTATTTCATAGAAATGAAGTATTACAGCTATGGTGAAGGCCATCATGTATCTATATAACTTGGAACCATTGTTGTTGGTTTGATGAGTAGGTATGTATCTTCTTGGAAAAATTGGCCAAAAGGTTTAAGAAACGAATTGTGCATATTGAATTGTGAAAGGTTCGGGACTAATTGTAGATTCTACTTCCTAGTCTAATGGGAATCAAACCAAACGAGCCCAATATATCCTACCTGGGGGTGGTGTCATGGGGTTAGGAGGTGTGATGTACACATTGTCCTCTACGCCAAAGACTAGAGCGGCTGTTTCTTGTTCAATGGCTTATTTGAAAATGAGTTTGATTGTAAATACAAGACTTGAGTGTAAATACAAGGAACAAACTTAATTGAACATATTAGTGACACACTTCAAAAGACTGATTCTGCGAAGGTTTTAAATGTAACACTTCCTGTAACAAAATACTACTTGACCATTTTATTGGTTAAAATTCTTTTTGAAATGAGTGTGCTTTAGGTTGAAAGTAGACAGTTCGCATCAAACTTTAAAATTGAAAAAGGTAGACTCAACCTTATTGCTCTTGAAAACACTTGATGAACCCATTTATACTAGGACATTTAAAAAGGCCACTATCAGGTTAGGTACATTTTTGAAGTCATGGTTCTCTGTTGTTGGGTACAACCATTTTGCATAAAATCTTTAAGCTCTAATTGCCTTTTATAGTTGAAAATAAGTAGGCTTGGTTCGGTTTTGGAAAGGGCAGACAGATAATTACTGAAGTCATATTATTAAAAGCTTTTTTTAGTGTTTTGGCATTCGAATGTGAGAACATTTAGAGAGAGAGAGAGAGAAATAACTTTGGTAACAACTAAACCAGTAGATCTGGAATACAATTCTTCAGTACTTACAAAGTCCAACAAAGCTAGTTATTATACTACTACATAATAACCAAGTATAACAACTATCCTAGAAAAACTCATGACAATTTGGTGTTTAGGAACAATTTTTTTTAATATTGTCAAGAAGCATTATCAAATAACTTGGACTTCTAAAATTGTGACATACATGCACCCTCTATTTGCATTTATATTCCCAACATCCTCATAAACCAAAGTACACGTTTATTCACAGAAATGGAATTGAAAGGAATGATTTCTTCTAAGATTTAACATCTTCGAACAGAAAACAGGATGTGGAATCCAAATTACAAAGCATATTTCCTTTTTAATTAAAATGATATCCTATGAAAACACTTTAGAGGTGGGGGTTACATGCAACCAAGGCAAAGTTGTTTAACCTATTTTTTCTTTTTAGACAAAGGATATCAGGCCCTTGATCCAAATTTATCTGGATCATAAGTGCTAGCATAGCAAAAACATAAAATGACCCGAAAGTTGTTATATCAGTGTTCTAAGAATCATCCTAAGAGGTGGCTGCTTAATTGGCTGACTAAGCATAAATTTGGGGGGGTGTGGGGGGGGGGTTAAAAGGCTTGATTTCCTTCCAGGCCCGTTCCTGACATTTTATAGGCCCTGGGCGAACGTAAAAACATGGCCCAATGCAAGAAACAAGGCTTTTAGCAACGACTTTTGTCGTCGCTAAAAGTCCATTTATTATCAGAAAGAGTATATAACACATGTCGTTGTTATAACTTGTGGCAGAAACATGTCATCACTAAGAGGCGCATCATCAAAGCTCACTTTTCTTATAGTGACCCTCGGTAAGTATGGAAAGAAATTCAATAAATGTTTTTCGTTAGTATAAAATTGAGTACAAGAAATGCTAATAATTTACCGAGGAAAGAAATCTTGTGTATCTTTATTATAGATATATACGAGAGTACTTAAATTTACGTACTTTTATTACGTAATTTGAAACCAAGAGTATAGAAACTATGGTTGATAATTTTTTATAAAAAGTAAGAATTAATTAGTTCATAACAAGAAATATGTGTTATTTTGATACAAAAAGAGAATTCTGTGTAAATAAAGTAATCGTGAGGGTCAATGAGAGATCAATAATAAAGAAAATTATCAAGATTTTCTAGACAAGTAGACAAATGAAGATCAATAAGAATATGAAAGAAAAGATGATCATTGAGATCCAATAAGAATAAATAATGAATTAAACAGATAATATGCAAGCTCAACAAATGATTGTTTGAGCATTCAAATAGAATTTTGTGGTGTGGTGGAATCCCAATGAAAGATACATAAGTCAAACAATTGATGAAAATATATAAATTCTATTTTCCTTCTTTTTTTGCTCAACTAAAATAACATGTTAAGATTAAAAGTTTATGGAACATGACATATATAAGAGACATTACTAAATACATCTAGTAGAAAAAATTTATTGATTATTCACAAAACCATGAAACACGTCATAGATTATAAGAACAATAGATTGATTGTCAAACAATAGTAAAATATTTTATGTAGAAGCAAAAATAGATAACAATAATCACCAAAAGCAATTAGAACAACATAACCAAAGGTTGTCTCTGCACCCCTACCTTCTTTATCACTGAGCAGTTATTTAGGGGCCACCTGTGTTGGTGTTGTGTTGGTTTCGGGTACAAGTATCCTTTCGTTGAAGGTCGTTCGAGCTTTAGCATTAGTCAGTAGAAGCAGAAATTGATAAAAATATCCAACAAAAGTATATAGCAACAGCAAGCACATGATCTTGAAGTTGAATTGTTGAAGCACGAAAACAGTCAAACATATATAGATAGCAATAGCCAATATCATTGGACCTTGTTGGAGATAAAAAAAATTAGAGATGCAATAAACAATAGCATATAAATGAATGACCAATTAATTTTTTTTATTTTCTTCTCCAATGTAATTAGTTGATAAATTTTTGGGCCCTTATTATCTACTAAATTCTTTTTGCCTCTTATTATATGATACAATTTTTTGGGTTTCTTTGATTTATTAAATTCTTTTAGACTACTATTGTATTTTAATGGAAAATTTTGGGCCCTGGGCTTGCACCCGTGCCGCCCTCCCCCAAGGACGGCCTTGTTTCCTTCTAAGCTACATATTAAGTGTCTTATACATTTAATCCACCATTAAGTGCCAAAGCAATTAAGTGGTGTTAGGCAGCCATTTAACGATCGGATTAAATTAAATGGATTAAATGTTTTTTTATGCCCAAGTCCGATATACATATGCATCTTGTTTAAATTGACTCACTTTTTGCTCAAGCTAATAAATGCAATGATGATCAATAATTGAGAAATTATACACCCAGTCCCTAGAGGAATACGATTGATCATTTTCATCAGACTCTGGGTATGTACATAATTTTCAATATCTTTTCCACTTCTGAAACTTCTCTGTTCTAACTATTCTTTGAGAAACCAGTAGATGGTCATTTGCATGCCGAAACATATGATATGGATGAGAATAGTGACAAAGAGCATAATCAGTCATTCTCATGAAATGGAAACAAAGAGTATGCAAGAACAAACCCTACTATTTGAAACAAGGAGAGTTGATGATAAGCTAATGTGTGCAGATTAAATATTATAATTGAGAAATAGGTACAGAAGAATCATCATCAAGATTTTTTTCTCAATAAGATCGAAGGAGGAATTGCTTCGGAAAAAAAATGGATTTGAAGGCCATTCTTCATTGCTTATGGAGTCTAAGAAAGCTAGTTATATATAGTAGTACCTAATAAATTAACTCAAGAAACAAAATGACCAAGTATAGCTTACTGTCTACGAATAACTTGCTACAATTTGATCCTCGTACTTACCGAACTATTATGTTACTGTCTAAAATTATTCTTGAGTAGCCATGACCTTCAAAATTGTGATACACTGCACCCTTCTATTTGCATCTTCATTAGCCTCTACATCTTCATAGCATAAGTTTTATTAATTGCCGAACTTCACCTTTAACCATGAACTTTGACCATATATTAGCTTTCATTTTGCTATTTGGATTCAGTCTTTATGATTTTTTCCGGCTCCTCCTAAATTGTTGGAATTTTAAGTTTGAAATTGTGAGTTTCGAAGATTTCTTCCATTGCACAATGGCAAACTTTGGATGCCTTTATATACCTTGAAACCGGAGTCGTCCTTGAATGCTTTATTGGACTTATGGTGGGTTACTATGAAAGGGCAACACATACACGAGCTCGGGCTCGTGACTCGGCACATCGGAGTTGGGTAGCCTCACCCCGAGCACTAGGGCTTTCTTTTTATAGAACAGTTTAGTGAGGCGACCGCTAATTACTGATTAATTAGTCGGGATATTTATTCGGTAATTATCTTTGAGCAGTTTTTTAATTTCGAAATTCAACTTATTTATAATTTACACGTTTCTTTTATTTATCAAAATCGGTTGGAGACTTGGTCTCCAACTCAATCCACATCATAAGAAACTTGGGGAGGAAATGCAGATTTTTAGGGATGTGATTAGGTGGTTATCTAATCACATCTCTAGTATAGGTAAAGCTGTAGACTTCCTCTTTCAATTCACATACAGAAAACAAATTATGCTCTCTATGTTGCCTACTGTCATTCTGCTTCAAATTTTTTCTACTAGTTTCTGCATTTTCTTTGCTTATGGTTGATCACTATTGCTGTTAGTATTTAATCTATACTGCATCAAATCCTGGTGCTAAGCAATACACCCATAGCGAAGGAGTATCACCAAAACCTTTCAAAATATGATTCATCTAATCGTGCGTTTCATTCCAAGTCGTTTGAAGATTTCAAGTTGGTTTTCATTTTTTGTGTTATTGTAATTTATTTTTGTTGTTGACATTGTAAACAGTCT